AGGCTTGTCCCTTGGGAATTTGGTGTAGTGAATTCAAAGCTATGATACTCAATAGTATCATGAAATGAGGTATGTTCATCTTGAATAGTGTGACGCTCTTGTATGACCTGGTCTTCAACAGGAATCCGCACAGGCTGAGGTATGACGTTCTCAGTGACTATAGGTCGTTGAAAGTTGTTCTCTCTCCTTGTCAAGCCTAACACAGCTTCCACAAGCTGGTCCAACTGGTTTTTCATCAAGTCAACATCTGCTCTTGATGCAAACTGGTTCTGCTCTTCTGAACTCATGATTCTTCCAGAAGCTGCTTCAAGTCCGATACGGGTGTCAGGAAATCAACTGTGGATTATGGACAAAGGATGGATAAGTTTCTGGTAGAGAGAGAATGATATGCAATGCAGATGAAATGCAAATGCAATGGTATGCGAATGCAATGCAAGCACAAACAGGATCACAGGTTCAAACACGTTCTGAAGTCAGACAGAAGCACGAGTAAATAACAAATATCTCTGATTAGTGGAACCCCATAGGTAGGCTCTAAACGGGTAGGTTCCTAGAGTCATGGATCTTTTCAAAGATATTATTACCATGACAAAGATTCATCCGATAATAATACCCTCGAAGGATCTCTTCTAGGTGAGGTTTTCGCGTCGTCCCACGAGAAAGACTCCTCGCGAGTCTCTACTACACAACCATCGAGTCCAAGGTTTCTTAAAGGGACCTCAGAGTCATAGATCGAGGTTGAAAATATCATTGTCAGAATAATGATACGTTCAAGGGATCTCATCTGATTGGGGCATTCGCATCAACCCAAAAGGAGTGAACCTTATGAGTTAACACTACCAACCACCATGGTAAGAGGGTAAAAGGTCCTTAGAGTTATAGATTCAAACTCAAAAACATCATTGCCATGGCAAAGACTCACCACAACAACAACATCCTTAAGTGAATCAACTCTAAGCGGGGCTTTCGCTTCCTCCCAATGAGAAAGACTCCTCGAGGGATTTCACTACACAACCACCATTCTAATCCTATGTTTTTTCTCGGGCTCGGGTGTAAAGCCATCTCACAAAGTTCCAACCATCAGAGAACCCCAATACTGTCACAAGAATAACACTAAGATATATAAAAGCAAGCAAGCAATTAAATAATAAGAATATAAATACACAAACGGATTTAACTCTCGCGAATCGAGTCAAGTTAGGCTTGACTCTCTATAGCATAGGGCTATACATTTCCCCAGCAGAGTCGCCATCTGTCGTACCTCGAAAAATACGATCCTCGCGATGGACGCGGAAAATACTGTTCGAAACAGAGTCGCCACCGAACTTTATTTATTCCAAAGATGGAACAAGAAAATATCGATAAAACCTTAAAAGGGATAAGAACATGGTCATCGCAACCAATATTCTAGGTTCGGGAGTCGATTACATGAGGGGAAGGTATTAGCACCCCTCATGTCCGTTGTACTCAACGGGAACCTCTTGATTCGATTCGCGAGAGAAAGTTAACTATGTTTGTTTATCTTCTAAGAAATTGCTTGCTAAAGGGGAAATGAGATGGTTAAAATAGGGTGCTCGCCAAGGATTGGGGCCCTTGTGCCTACGTATCTTCACTTGTAAGAAATGGAAAATCAGAGCATTCGTAGTTCATGGGACTACGGGAAAAAGGGGGGAATTGTGCTCGCTAGGATTATCGCAATCCTATGCCTACGTACTCTCAACAGATATGAGAGATCAGAGCAGCCGTAGTTCGGCTACGGGAAAGGATGGGGGATGGACGAATTGTGCTCTCTAGGATTATCACAATCCTATGCCTACGTACTCTCAACAGATATGAGAGATCAGAGCAGCCGTAGTTCGGCCTACGGTTTGCTAAAAGGTTTGTGTTTGGAATGAACGAGATTTTAGGTCGCATTCTAACTACTAAACGTTGGCTTGTCTGCTCGCAAGGGGAGGTTGAAGCACTAGTTTGTTATGCGCGGAAGAAGGGACTAAACAATGTTCTTGGTAAAAGGTGGGTATGAGTTGAACGAGAGTTTAGGTCGCATTCTAACTGCTAAACATTGGCTTGACTGCTCACTAGGGGAGGCTGAAGCACGAGTTCATATGCGTGGAAGAATGGACTAAACAATATTCTTTGGGAAATAGTTGTTTGAGTTATGTATTGCACGAGGGCGAGGAATAGAGTTTGATTGGTTAAGTATTTTGGTTTAGAAAAGAGAGAATAGATTTTAATTGGCTATTGGGTTTTGGTCGCACGGGGGCGAGAGGAGAAAGTTTAGCTAGAGGTGACGATTACCTGAAGCTTAAGAAAGACTTCTCGGACTTTAAATAATCGGGAGAGTGAACCAAAGACTTGGAGCTCTCTATTTTTCAACCTCGATTGCGAAAGGATAGGATATGGTTTGAGTGGGTTAATCAGATGACAATTACTCGAAGCTTAAGAAAGACTTCTCGGACCCAAGTAATCGGGAGAGTGAACCAAAGACTTGGAGCACTCTCTTTTTCATCTAGAAAGGAAGGAAATGGGTACGGTTCGAGTAAGTTGAACAGATGACGATTACTCGAAGCTCAAGAAATACTTCTTGGACCCAAGTAATCGGGAGAGTGAACCAAAGACTTGGAACTCTCTCTTTTTCATCCCAAAGAATAATTGTGTTTGGAAGGTTTTGAACGATGGGATGTGGTTAAAGTATTTTAGAGGATGAGGATTACTCAAAGCTTAAGAAAGACTTCTCGGACTTTAAATAATCGGAAGAGTGAACCAAAGACTTGGAACTCTCTCCTTTTCTCATCTAATATTATGAAAGATGTTTGATTATGATTAGAGTGTATTAATCAGATGATAATTACTCGAAGCTCAAGAAAGACTTCTTGGACCTTAAGTAGTCGGGAGAGTGAACCAAAGACTTGGAGCTCTCTCTTTTTCATCCTAAGTGTTTATGAAAATTGACTTGAATGGTTTATCATTTTTAGAAGACAATTGTTCGAGCTTAAGAAAGACTTCTCGGACCCAAACAATTAGGAGAGAGAACTAAAGACTTGGAACTCTCTCTTTTTCATCCTTTATCGAAATTGTGTTTAAGTAATTATTAAGTGTCTTAATTTGATTTAAGAAACTGCTCGATGTGAATCGAGGTTTGAACTTAGAGTTTTAACGTGTGCACTAGCAAAGTGGGCTAGTCTTCTAAGTGACCAACTATAAGTAATTGATCAAATAGGTGTCACTGTAAGGAAGCCCAGGATTAAGCTTTAAAATGTTGTGTATTGTGATCAAAGGTTGATGGCGAGGCTTTGAAAGCACTCGACTTACAAGGGTAGAAAATGGCCCGATAAATCAAAATTTTATTTTTAAAAATGGTTTTAAAGTATTAAACCATGAGTAAATCAAAAGCAATACAATATATTACATTTTGTGGAAGTTGTGGTACATTTGTCGAATGGGATAGGACAACACGAAAGCGAGCACATAAAATAAATTGAATCGAGTTTGTCACAACTTGTTCCAAAGCTGTTTTTGTGTGTAATGATTCATAATGCAGCAAAAATTCCAATTTGATATGTAAGAAATTTCTGTGGCATAACGATAACAAGTTACCGAATCCAATTTACTTGATTGAAATTAAATCACTAAAACCCAAAAAAATATTCTAAGAATTTAATTATTTAAAAAAAAATACTATTTACAAATTTAATTACAAAAAACAAGTGAGGTGAAAAAAATTAGTAATATGCCTAAACCTAAACAATAATCTAATCGTCATATTAATTAATCAAATTAGCAAATAAATCAATTATTTAATTAATTATAATAAACTAATCAAGAAAAAAAAATAAAATAGAAATAGGCCTAAACCTAAACCACAATCCAATGGTTATATTTGTACTTGCTATAATAACAATATGTAACAATCATAAAATATAATAGAAATAGTATCACTACAACATTTTGAATATACAGCAACACAAAAAAACCGTTGCAAAATCCAAAAAAACCGTTGCCTTTACATATGAGAACGGTTTTCAGGGCGTTCTAAACCAAGGCGTTGTTTTAGCCTTTGGGAACGGTTATTTAGCCAACGGCAACGCCTTGTTCAGAGCCGTTGCTGTAATTTTATATAGAGAACGGCCTAGAACAGCAACGGCTGGAGGCCGTTCTCAAATGTAAACCATTGCAATTGTTGTTTATTAAAGAACAGCTATTTTATGAAATATAGCAACGGTTCTTAGTTGTAGCCTATTCTAAACCGTTCTAATAGAGGCTTAAGTTCAATTTTTCTTCATAGGTTATAGCAACGACTTCTTTACTACAGACACACTTTGTAACGGTTGCAAAAAAATTTATTTTATTTTATAAACCAAATAAGTTTATTTATTTTTTAATAAAATAAATTTTTATTTTATTTTATAAACCTGATAATAACATCATTCACAATTTTTTATATATAATAATATTCAAATACAAAGCATCTTCAAATTGAAAATGATCCAACAACAAAACATCTTCAAATTACATATCGTAATGTCAACAAAACATCTTCAAATTACATATCGATCCCAATGTCAATCATCATTCATAGTCATAATAACATCTTTAATCTATAAAATTAAACTTAAACATCTACATCTATATTTCTTCATCTTCAAATTCAAAATCTTCATTGATATTATCATTCATGACCTGCAAAATAAAAATAATATAACTTAAATAAGATTATTATTCGAAGGATCAAAAATAAAATAATCCACTCCAAGTAACACACATATCCAACACTTAGAATCCATACATACACATTTACAATATACAAACCAACCATCCAATTTCATTCATATCACTTTAACACACCAATACACTATTTATATGTTAACTAACACTACAGCATAACTAATCAATTAGGATTTCAATTAGCATAACTTAACTAACAGCATAACAGTTCTACCAGTTCTACTACCAGTTCTACCAGTTCTACTAACAGTTCTACATACAAAGTCCTCATTTTCTTACCTATTTCCATCAGCATTATACATCAGTTTTGTGCAATACTGTCCCGGAGTGTTGTACTCAAGCTGGAAGTTCTTGCCATAATACACCCAAGCACGAATTTTCCCATCAATCAAAGTTGATAATATAAACTGCAACAACATGATATCATAACAACCTTGTCAACCATTCACGATACTGTATTCAACGAAGAAGAACTAAACAAACATCGACAGAAGAATTTAACCTGGATATTTTCCTTTGCGTGAGGAAGAACTGAATGAACAGGTGCTTCATGACCTTCGAAGATAAAGATCACATGTCCATCCAAATCCCATAGCTGCATGTATCACTCTTCAATTAGCAAAAATTCAAGTTACATTCAAATAGAATTTATTCTAGACTAGAAACTTCTCTGTCACCTTAATTAACATATCACCGCCACGAGTTACCATACATAGTCTTCTGTTTAGAAAGGCTTTGATACAAGCCTCTCTCGCAGACTTGCTTCCCAAAGTGAAACTTCACCGTTTACGCTACCAACTGTTTCATTGAAATTCTCTAGGTTATTAGAAAGACTAATTAAGTTTCTGCGTAATATACAGACAATGTTGATTATTTTAACCTACCAGCTAGTATTGAATGAATGAAAGGATGAAACTCCATGCTTGTCATAGTTGAACCCTGATGTAACTTACAAACTCAATAGTATTCGGTGTTTCTGAATGCATCGGAATGGAGACTGCAAGAAATTGACAATAGAAAGATTATAATAGTTCTTCATCTACTACAGTCATTATATCAGTGTAAAACCATTTTACATTGACACGGGGCATCTGTATTAAACTTTATGCGACAAAAAACCGATGAAGATATACCTTGAGTTGAAGGACCAAGCAATAAGGAAGCTTTGATCTCAGCTGGGATTGAGAAAACGGCAAAGGATTTGCATTCAGCGGCAATGTTGTCACAACATTAGGAGTAGGAACTGCAATGGTAGGCGAAGGATTTGTATTCAGCGGCAATGTTGCAACAGCATTAGGAGTAGGAACCGCAACGGTAGGCGAAAGTGAAATGCAACAAAATTAAGTACTAATAAGTTGAAATGCAACAAGCAAATAACAGTTTTATCAATGAACATGAAAATATCTTAATATTCTGTTATATTTTATTTTGTTGATAAAGTTATATCTCCTATTTTAGAGTATCTAACTTTTCTATTTAATAAACATCTTGACCATCTTTGGAGTTCAGCCAAGTCAACCTTTCTTTAATCCTCTACAGTGAACAAACAATATTTTCTCAGATAAATTCAGATATGCAGAGCTCCCAAAACATTGAAGAAACCTAAATGTAAAATTTTATGCACTGGGGGTTTTCTTATTCTCCACAAATCATCCCCATAAAATAACACCCACATACAATTTCTTGTCTGCATCAATAAGTCAATCGAAGGAAAAAAGGAACAAAAAATAGGTAAATTTCAGTGTAAATGTTTAACTCACACCCTAAGCAAACAGGCTTGAACAGAGTTCTCTACATCTTTATTGACCAATGGATCAATTAATCGGTTGTCAGGAGCTTGTTTGACTTCTTCTGCCCCTGCAAGGCGCTGCATGTTTTATAGATAATGAAAAGTGGTGAATCATCATCAATGTGTATGTTAGGAATCCAATATATGTTCTATTGCATTGTAATGACACTACATGGTTGCTGTTATTATACTATGTGCTAATGTGCGGAGACAGAGATTAAGAGGGATAAAGAGAAAAAGTTAGTTCTCACTCTCATATGCATTGGTCCTTTATCTGATGGCTGCAGAATGTAATAACAATGATAAGGAGCCTCTGTAATTGTTTCTAAATCACAATTTGAAGAGCATATCAAACCCTGGTCCATTGAATGTAGAACACTAGAAAGGCCTTGAAAAAATGTCAAATCATAGCCATGTTAGGAAAAATGATAAGCTTTGAAGAATTTGACCAATAAAAATTGAACAGCAACAATTCAGGACTAATGACAATGACGTGGGTGATAGAACTTCAAAGAAGAAGGATCCTACTACTCACGTTGAGCATTCATGTCTGACTGATCAGCGTCATCGGAATTGGTTTCGATCACGTGATAAGAAGATGCAGTCACGACAAATGAAGCCCCCAATATTAGACCTGCATTAAAACTCAAAAATCAGAAAACCAATTTTTTGTAGAAAACCAGAGAGGTTAAGAACAAGACGTTGGGTGCACCAATATTGCTTAATCAGTCTCAGTATCCCATCATAAAGACAGTAATTAAAAATTGTTCTGGTCGCCATTGAAGTAAATTTATAACATTGTTCAGTCTCTGCTACCGAAAATCACAACCTGAGGTTCAATATTGGGTTCTACAAGAGATTGATTCTGACAACCAAGTGCACTTCTCAATTTAGCAGATTCTTCAAACTTTCTATCAACAAATTGTGTATGTGGTGTCTGAACATCACAATTCGGGTGAAGTCCAACAACCACTATGCTCTCAAACAGTTGCGACGGCTTCTTAAAAGACCTATGACCCTGTGAAACCAATAAAAGCGGGTGTATGAAAACAGTAAAGATACGACTCGCATACTGATAAATAAGGAACATATAAGAAGACAAGATGGTGTAAGAAAACAAGTACAAGCAAACAAATCCTGAGGAGGAAAGAAATTCCTCAAGTAATTAACAAAACTAGATGGTGTAAGGAAAGAAATAATGAATTCCTGAGAAAATATTCACATTCATACACACCTGTCAAGCAAATTAATATTAAATATAAAACAGAATACTGCTTTATTCAATACACTCACAGAAGTTTTTTTCAGTTCTACTGATACTAAGTTTATCCAAGGGTAATTTGTACAAGATCTGATGCAAATTTTGCAAAATGCTTGTTCGATAAAAAAAATGAGTCATGATATGCATTCATCAAATAAGTGAAGCGTCGTGAATTATATTAAATCTAACAAATACATTGCTTACTCAATTTATAGAGTTGATATGCATTCATCAAATAAATATATCAAATATCAAGTCATTTTCCAGTGTTGTTATAGGAAATGACTTAGCAGAACCAATATCACATTCATGATTCATGCCCTAAAGTATCAATTACCAAAGTAACAGAAATAATGAAAAACCAAATGTAGGTAGTAAATTTCATCTAGGCACTGATTACTCAGATTGAAGGTGCGTCCGGTGTCTAACATTGACATGACACTGTCACATGTAGTTCCATTCTATCATTCAATTTTCTCTAATTATTATAGGTACTGAAATGCCAATGTCAATGGCATGTGTCAATGTATCAATGCTACATAAACCAGGAGTGAATGCGCTAACCTTATAATTCTCAGGAAATGTTGAAACATCTCCATGACCAGGTCATCACACTCAAGGTCCAGCATAATCAAGAACATTTTGATCTTTGAAAATTTTTCAAGTATGATATTTGCTTTTTCATATCTGCGGCCAGATACATGTGATAATTTTTCAAAAGCTATCACGGCAAGCTTCAAAAATTTACCGAACATTTCAACTATACACAAATGAGCTTGTAAGCTAGTCAAATCTACGAAATACCAGACACAACCTAAATGGTGAGACGACAACGACAATAAACATTTTTCTACTAAACATTTTTACCTTTCTTGTTTGTTCTAACAAGTCCTCTATAGCAGTAGCAACATCAGGACCAGCATGGGTTACCTCCCGAGCATCTTTGAGCTTATTATCTTTAGAAAAATTCAAGTCAGAGACATGAATGCCTGAAATTACGACGTGTTTCTCCTGAATCATTCCACCTATCAGATGTACTACGACGTGTTTCTCCAAAGTTCCTTGTCGATTGATTATCTACCCATCACTCCACTCTCCGAGCATCACCTAAGCCCTTGTCTCCATCGCTCTTCATCCCTCCAACGGTCATGACGTCCACTTTCAGAGTCAAGCACGGATGGCCTAAAGACATCCTTTCTCTTATGGTCGTCATGCGCATCTTCTCCATTTCCAGATGTCTTAACAATCTCTGAGCGATTGCTAAGTGATGGAGTTGAGATGACATGGCTTTCTTGAGAAATAAATAAAACAGACTGACTTAGAAGCAATTATAAAATAATTTTCAAGTGACGTGTTCACAAAAACATTACAACCGTACACCAAAAAAATCTATTTCAAAAAGTTGCAGGCAATTGTTACACACCACAGTTCATGCTCCAGGTTTTCCCTCCCCTGGCTTTGGCAGAAGCCACTGCGGTGAGAGTGGAATAGGATTCTCTGAGCCTTGGAAATCTGAACATATGTGATAAGAACTTCGGTTATTAAAACAGAATTGAATTTTTTAACCAATTTCAAAAATTTTACCAAAGCAGAATCTAGGAAAAGTAAAACTATTGACATAAGTTTCACAGTGCACAGATAATCATATAATCATGTAAAGAATCAGAACACAGTTTATCAGTTACTAACTGTTTTTCCATCTATAACTCTTTTCCACTAAAAGTAAATAGTATAGAATAAACAAAAAAACCTAACAGTTCATGATTTCAAACACGATGAAAAAGCATAGACGTTTTAACACGTCGCGAAGATCTAAGAAGCTTTTAATCCAACAAAATAATAACTAGCAGAAGCTAAGAATTAGGTTTAGGATTAAATTAAAATCGATGTTAATCGAAAGTGAGAAGAAGCTAGGTTTTAGTGGTGGCATAAGAGACAGTGAAATCAGAGACGAAAACCTTTGGAGATCGGAAAGGGATGAGCGGTGGAGACATGGAGGGAAGTGGCGGAAGTCCGGTGAGACATGGTTGATCAGCGGCGAGAGAGGTTAAGATTGCGATTGATTGAAAATAGGATTGGGTTTGGTAGAAGCTCGGAAGAAAGGATTAGGGTTAATATGGGATGAAGAACAAAATGTTAGGGTTAGAATCAATTTGGGATGAATGTGTCTTCTCTTTCTCTGTGCGCTAGAATAAATTTGGGAGGGAACTGGAAATTTTACTCAGGTTTGAGAGGGAGAATGAAAAGTATACACATATGAGAACGGTATTAGTAAATAATATTTTATTAAAATAATTTAAAATTATATAAGAACGGCTCTAGCCGTTGCTAATAGGAGCCGTTCTCATTGTCCTCTACCAGAACGGTTTCGGGCCGTTGTATAAAATTTACAAAAAATTATATAAGCTACCGCAACAAATTATATAATTAGTTGCCTATTACTCTCTACGAGAACAATTTTTTACTTCCTAAAAATTAGGTGTTGCTATAGAGTAAAAATGTTGTAGTGTATATATAAGAATGAACCAACTAAAAATAGAAATGACATAACTTATGCACACATAATATTTTTAATTATACCTTAATTTCAATAAGCGCCAAAACATAAATAGTACCTAAACTTTAGCAGCATTAATGATATTTGTCAATAATCATAATGTACAAGTTTTTTCAAATCATTAGTCAGTAACTTAGTAAAAACAAATGAAAAAAAATGAAGCTATAATAAAAGTTAATTTTCACTAATTAACCTAACTAAAAAAAATTACCAGTATGAAAACAAACTATAATAAATAACAAAAAAGAAATCATAACATGAAAATAATGGTTAAACAAACAACTCTCCCATGATTCAAGTGTCAAAAAAATAAACAATACGAATGAGTATGAGACGTAAACCTCCCAATTAGAGCTCGACGGTTGTTGCGTCTTCCAGATGGGTTCAAATTGCCTCGGCATTCATGTACAATTATGATGAGTGGAATTTTACAGCGGTGTGTTATGAGTATAAAGCTTATTCTTCATCGCTTGCCGTGGTTATGGTAGTTTGTTCGGAGCGGAATTTCATACGATAATGTAGATTTGAAAGGTGCAGCTTATGGTTTTTTCACTTGCAGAAAAAACTGTTTAGTGAGTGGGGGAGAGAAAGTGAAATGTGATTGTGTTTCACGGTGATGGGTCTAATGGCGGAAGATGAAGAGAGAAGAGGATTGGCTTTGTTGGCTGGTGTTTGGGTTTATGAGATTGGAGCGGCGGCTAGGTCTCCTCCAAGAAGGAGATGAATAGTCTCCTTTATATCCACCCTTTCTGTCCTTTTTCTTTATTTTTTAATTTTTAATTAATTTTTCTGCTAATTAATTTGAATTAACTAACTAATAATCGAAACTCAATTCTAATTAAGATCTAATTTAAATTTAATATTAAAAAACTATTTTTACTATATAACTAAATAAAATTCTAACTTAATTATTAATTATAATTCTAATTTAATTTCTAACTAAAAGCTAATTTAAATTCTAAATTAATTCTAATTATTTCTCTAATTCTATTCTAACTAATTAGTTAAAAATTAAAATTATATTATATTTACATATTAGAAAAATTAAACTATAAAGCAAAAATAATAAAATAATAACAAAATAAAAACAAATAAAAAATGCCACGTGTCACAAATTTATTGGGCAAAAAGGTGAAAAATACGTTAAGATGTACAAGCAATGCAAATTAAAAAATAAAGTCGGGCGAATGAAAATTTTGAAAAAGGTAGGACAAATTTGGGGTATGACACTATGCCAATGAGATCATTATGCATACTCGAAGTTATACATTCAGATGTATGTGGTCCTTTTGAAAAGCATACCATTGATGGAAACAAGTACTTCGTCTCCTTTGTCGATGAGTATAGTCGAAAGCTATGGATCTATGTGATCAAACGAAAGGATGAAGTATTTGAAATCTTTAAGAGATTTAAGATACTTGTCGAAAACCAATGTGAAAAGAAAATTAAAGTTATGCGAACAAATGGAGGTGGCGAGTACACATCCAAGATATTTGAAGCATTATGTGCAGAACATGGTATTGATCATGAGATAACTACTCCTTATACTCCTTAACATAATGGAATAGCATAAAGAAGAAACATGATCATATTGGACATGGCGAGACGCATGCTGAAGCAGAAGAATTTTCCAAAATCCTGATGGGGTGAAGTTGTTTCACTGTTGTTTATATTTTGAACAGGTGCCCTACCAAGAAGCTAAAGAACAAGGTTCCTGAAGAAGCATGGAGTGGAAAACGACCATCAGTGAATCATTTGAAGGTGTTTGGCTCTATTTGCTACAAGCATATTCTTGATGCTAGGAGAAAGAAACTTGATGATAAGAGTGAACCTATGATTTTTGTAGGATATCATAAGACTGGAGCATACAGGTTGTTCAATCCAATTAATGAGAAGATTTTGATGAGTCGAGACATTGTGATTTATGAAAAATCTGCTTGGGATTGGAATTCTAGTAATACAATTAACAAGCCACTAATGATCTATGATTTCGGCGAAACCAGTAATAATGTCAAAGTCAAAGACATTGTTGATACCCCGGTCGAAGAAGAAGACGAAGCTATTGTTGACACTCTTGACACAGTAGAAGTTGAAGAAGATATGGTTGGCATAAGTTAGAGACCTCAACAAACTAGAGCTCGTCCAGCAAGACTTCAAGACTATGAAGTGGTTGGTGATGATGAAGTCACAATAGATGGGGAACTAGTTCATTTTGCTTTACTTGCAGGTGTTAAACCAATCAACTATAGCGATGCCTGCAAAGATAAACAATGGAAACCTGCTATGGTCGAAGAGTTATAAGCAATTGAAAGAAACAACACATGGAAGTTAGTCGAATTGCCACCTCATACAAAAGCTATCGAAGTAAAATGGGTGTTCAAGTTGAAGTACAATGTTGATGGGTCGATAGCAAGGCATAATGCGAGATTGGTAGCTCGAGGATTTCTCTAGAGAGCTGGACTCGACTACTGAAGTATTTGCACGTACCATAAGATTGGAAACTGTTCAACTAATGGTGGCCTTGACATGCAAGCAAGGCTGGTCAACATCTCACTTAGATGTGAAATCGGAATTTTTGAATGGACCTTTAGATGAAGAGGTGTATGTCACACAACCTCCTGGGTTTGTGATTCAGGAGGAAGCAAGTAAAGTATACAAGTTTCACAAAGCGCTCTATGGTCTCAAGTAGGCACCTAAGGCAAGAAATAAGAAGATCGACTCATACTTGGTTGAATTGGGATTTGTAAAATGAAAATCTGAGTATGGTGTTTATGTTCAGGTTGTGGCACAAGATATAACAATAACCTGCTTATATGTCGATGACTTGCTAGTAACTGGAAATAACTTGAAGAACTTGTCGAAGTTCAAAGAGCTGATGAAGAAGGAATTTGAAATGTCGGATCTGGGAAAGTTGTCATACTTCATAGGCATGGAATTTCAAATGTCGAAGCAAGACATGGTGATACATCAAAGAAATTATGTCAAAGATATACTCAAGAGGTTCAGAATGGACGATTGATTCCTGCATCCTCGCCTATTGAACCAAATTTAAAGTTGGAGAAGCATGGAGAGAAAGACAAAGTCAATGCAACTTTGTTCAAACAGATTGTCAGATCTCTAAGATATGTGTGCAACAGTCGACCTGATATATGTTTCTCAGTCGGATTAGTGAGCAGATATATGAGTGAACCAAAGGTGTCACACATGAAGTCTGCAAGAAGAATCTTGAGATACTTAAAAGGATTTACAAACTATGGAATTTTATTTAGAGGAGACTCTGAAAGCAAAGAATCTATGTTTACTTGTTATTCAGATGCTGACCGGTGCAGAGATAAGGAAGATCGAAGAAGCACTACTGAATATTTCTTTCAAGTATTTGGTGCCCCAATTTCATGGTGCTCGAGAAAGTAACCTATGGTGGCATTGTCATCGTGTGAGGTTGAATATATAGCAGGATCCTATATTGTGTGTCAAGTAATTTGGATCAAATATGTGTTTGAAGAAATGGAGGTCGAAGTGAAGAAACCTATAGTACTGCAGATCGACAACAAGTCAGGCATAAATCTGGAAAAGAATCCAGTTTTGCATGGAAGAAGTAAGCACGTCGAAGTCAGATTTCCCTTCTTAAGGGAGAAGGTGAATAAAGGTGAACTTGAAGTAAGACATTGCTCAAGTGAAGCACAATTGGCCGACATTTTCACCAAAGGATTAAAGATCGACAAGTTCTTAACTTTGAGAAAGAAATTATGAATAGTTCAGGTCGACAATGATTAGTGTGTTTCGACAATTTGGATTATAAGGGGGTATGTTGAGATATTAGATATAATGCAAGTTGTACTATGTGCTCAAGCCCAAAGCTAATTAGAGTTTATTGTTTGTTATTTTAGTGTATATAAATAGACATTTTGTAATTCAGTTTTATTAACTCAATAATACCAATCCTAATTTTTTTATTTTTTTTATTTTTTCTTCTTACTAAAAGTGTCTCACGCACTAACACATATCACGCATGATATCTTAATCTATCTGAAAATTGTAAAATATGAATAGAAAATTATTTGTTTTTTTAATCAAGTGTTTCAATTATCTTCTTATTTCATGATAGAGTCAAGTAAAGTGCTAACAATTTCGGACAAACTAAAAGGTTATATAAATGAAAGAGAAATATCAAATTGAACGTAATTCAATGCAAGTAGTATAGATTAAAATGCATAATTGAAAAAAAAATATTAATGTTGCATTATACTCTACTTTGATAATTTCATATAAATTGAGAAAATGCAGTTAATTATATATAAAAATATATAAATTATTTTACAAAAATATTTTATTCATTAATAGCATAAAAAAGAAATTTAAAAAGATGAAATAATGAATGATGAAGGACAAAAAGAAAGAATTTATTGATGTAATAAAACATCATAATTTATGATCATTATATTTTTCTAGAAGTTCAATTAAATGACTCTTTGAACACGGAAACGTGAGTGAAGTGAATTTTCTCAAAAATCATAATTTCTTGGAAGCAACGGAAGAACAAATAAACTACCAATTTCCTAATAAGGACACAAAACAGTATCACATAAAAATGGCAATTTCGTATTGCTATTGGTTTCTTTAACTTCATAATTGTCAAGATAAAAGTCTAAAATTGAGAATCTTGCAATAGAAGTTTCTTCATTGAGGTCAAAGTAATTTTTTTTCTTTCATATTACAACTCTTAAGACTTTTTAATTAATTTTCATTCCTTATAGCTATGATGCCTATAAATATAGTTACTGTCTTTGTTTTTCAAACATCTTGCAAATTAAAATGGCAAAGCTTGCTTCAATTGTTTTGATTTTCAGTTTTATAATGGCACTTGTTTTGCTATCTTCATGCCCAGCAATGTCTCAGGAAGTTGGTAATGATTTTTTTTTCTATAATTCAAAGTAAATAATTTGATATTATTACAATTTTTTTTTTATATTTAATTCATTTTTAACTTATGCTACTTGCAGAGGATGAGAGAGAGTTTAATTATGATGAAGAGAGTGATAAAGGACCACAAAATTGGGGAAACATTAAACCAGAATGGTTCATGTGTAAAAATGGAACAAAGCAATCACCAATTGATTTATTGAATCAAAGGGTTCAAATTGTATCCAATTTAGGAACACTTCAAATCAACTACAAGCCCTCTTATGCAACTCTTAAAAATAGAGGTCATGATATTATGGTAAGTTAATAAAAAAAAAATCTATTATAAATAAATTTTTTATTTTTCTGTCTAATAATTTTATAAATCAATTTTGTTACAAATAGCTCGAATTAAACTCGAACTCAAGCTATCTGCAAATTAACGAAACTCAATATATCCTTAAACAATTCCATTGGCATTCTCCTTCCGAACACACCATTAACGGCAAAAGGTACATATTTTTTATTTTATACTTTGTTTTTTCTATCAAAATATTTTAGTAATTAATATTTCATCTTTTAAAAATAAATAAACCTGCTACGTATTTAAATTAAATATTTAATAAATAATTGTGTTACAGGTTTGATTTAGAGTTACATTTGGTACACCAAACTCCATCAGGAAAAATAGCAGTGATTGGATTATTGTACAAAATTGGAATACCAGATCTTTTCTTAGCGTTGGTATAATTTACTTCTTTTTTTTTTCTGTGATAATTGACTTAATTAATTAAATTAATATTTCTGACTTGACTTATACACTTTTTCTGTATATAGTTGAAAAAGGACTTGGAGGCAATTTCTGAAAGTAGTGGGGCAGAAAGGGAAATAGGTATAGTTGTTCCTAATCTGATTACATTTGACAGAAGGCAGTATTATAGATACATTGGTTCGTTGACTACTCCACCGTGCTCTCAAAATGTTACTTGGACAATTATTACAGAGGTTAATAATTAATTTAATTTGTTAAATAAACTAGTTTAATTTTACTAGATTTATTAGCTTTCAAATTAATTGTATTTACTTTATTGAAATGATTAGGTGAAGTCTGTTTCGAAGGAGCAAATTGAATTGCTTCGAGTTGCTGTTCATGATGTAAGTTATATATATTTTAATGTTAATTAAGCTTTGATTATTCATGGTTATTATGTATTTATTTAGTGAAGTATAATATAAATTTGTTTGGCAGGAATCAAATTCTAATGCAAGACCATTGCAACCAATAAATGGTCGATTAGTGCAGCTGAATAAATTTGGACCAAGAGTATGAAGAGGAAGAAATCGACAAAGGCTATTTTGCTACTTGAATGTTCTTGTATAAGCATGAGCCTTCAACGAAGAATTCAGGACAAATTCATTATGCCATGTGCTATATGTATTAGAATAACTTTTTATATAATTAATGTATCTTATTAATGGTTGTTTAATAAATTTTAAAATAAGTTTTTGTTTGTAATATATTTGATGAGTGTAAATGTGAGTGGTTAAGTTCTACATCGTTTGTAAGTTTTTAAATAAGTTTTTGTTTTTGTTTGTTATAGTCACTTGAAGCTACACTGCTCTAAGATTTTTTACATTGTCTTCACCGACAATCATAATTTTAAAAATTATCATACTCTCTCATGAAAATATATTTTACTCGAAGATAAACCACTTCAAGAATTTCACATTGTCATCACCGATAATCATATACTTTATCATGAAAAATAAATTTTATTTGAAGGTAAATTATTCTAAGAATTTTACATTGTCTTCACCAACAATCATAGTTTTAAAAACTATTATACTCTCTCATGAAAAATATATTTCACTTGAAGATAAACCATTTCAAGAATTTCACATAGTCATCACCGACAATCATATACTTTATCATGAAGAATAAATTTTATTTGAAGAAAAACCACTCCAAGAATTTTACATTGTCTTCACCGACAATCATACTTCATCATAAAAAGTATAGTCACTTGAAGCTACACCACTCCAAGATTTTTTACATTGTCTTCACCGACAACCATAGCTTAAAAAACTATCATACTCCACCTAAAGAAGAGTATACTTCACTTGAAGTTAAACCACTTCAAGAATTTCCCCATGTCGAAAAATCCAGGTTGAAACATTATGGAACAACTTCCTTGTTGGCAGGAAGCTCTTCAACCACCGACATAATCTTGCACCTTTTGTAATTTTGATTGTATCAACACATCTTTGACTTGAACTTTCCATAATTCAAAAAAACGTATTCCATCAATTTTCTGTAGCCCGACTAACAGTTGAATTCGCGTTTGTAGCTTAACAACTCTTTCACAAAACTATCCTTATTTTCTGATATGAAAGATCAGACAAAACTGCAACCACAGAGCATACTAAGAGCACTCATCCCCGGATCGAACCAGACTCTAATACCAGTTGTTGGGAAAAAAATAATAAAGCATAGAGAAAAATAGGAGAACACAATCACAACATAAGAACATAACGTGCAAACTCCAAAACTAGAGAAAAAACCACGATCATTGTCAACAGACAACTAGAGAATAACATTATGTGAAAATTGTTACAACACATAATATACCCTCACAAACTCAGGCCCACAGTACACCCACACCCTCCAAAACAAATATTTAACTACATCTCACAACACTCTAAAACAAGAGCATAAGAGAATAAAGAAAGTTAAATACAAGCTTAAAGTGCTTTTGAATGGTGCATCTTGGAATGAAGAAGGTGACTCCTATATATAGCATTGGACTCCCACTTCCTTCACAAAACTAAGCGATGTGGGATTTCAAATAACTTATATCCTATATATAACCTTGAACTCTCTCTTCATTTACAAAACTAAGCAATGTGGGACTTCTTCAACATGTATATTTTCAATCAACCCCAATAATTCATATATTTAATGTCTTAAGATTTCGAGTGGATATATCATGTCTTCCTCTCTTATGATCATGGAGTATTGGTCTCGTTGATGCTTTTGACTTTCCTAGAATTTTAGATAAGCGGTATCAGAGTCATGATTCGGTTTGATGAAGATCGAGAGTTGGATTCTGTTATACGATGTGGGGACTCACATTTGTGGTAGTTCCCTCTCTTGTGGCTTTGAAGCATTCAGCGTCTGTTAGTGTTTAAGTCTCCCTCGATCTTCCCAACAAGTTGTTTTAGATTCATGGTTAGGCTTAGTGGGAGAGGGGAAGTTAGATTCCATGTTAGATTTTTTTATAGGATGTAATGAATCTTACTTGTGGAGTGCAAGTGTGAGTGGTTAAGTCATACATCAGCTATAAATAGATAGAATGTTAGATTTATAATAGAGATGATCCTTAAACTTGATATTTTAAGATTTTTAATGGAGAAGTTGTGTCTCCCTTTCTTGTAGTTAATCTTGAAGCATTGGGTGCTCGTTGGTGCTTCTTCCTTTCTTGGACTTCTTAACAGTGTCCATAGTAATACTAAGTTAGTCTATAATGTCATTTTATTTATTGTCTTTTCTCTTATTCCCCTCATTATCTAATGTATTCATTCTTTATTACAACCTTTACTTTCTATTCTTTCATTTTGGTGCTCTTATTGCATAGTATGGCTTATCATCCTCCTTAAATTTAACTTTTTCATTATTGAACCCAAGATGTCTTTAATGGAGGAAAAACCTCCTAACTTATCCTTAGTTGTCCCTAACTTGCCCCCATTGAATCCAAACACACAACTTATCCTTAGTTGAACGAACGAAAGGAGCATAAACCTTCGACAATGGGTGAAGGTTTGGCCGTTAAGGAAAAGTTCTTGCGAAAGGATGGTAAGTTCGACAAGATGAAAGGTAAAAGTCAGCAGAAGTCTTATAGTGGAGAAACATCTGGTATTTAATGTTATCATTGTAAAAAGGAGGGTCACACAAGAAAGGTGTGCCCTGAACGCATGAAAGATCATGGAGGTAAGGATAATGGCAACGTAACCATTGTTCAAGATGACTTCGACTCATCTGATGTTCTTGTGGTTTCAAGTTGCGACTCAAGAAAAGAGTGGATTATGGATTCAGGTTGCACTTGGCACATGACTCCAAACAGAGAATTGTTCAATGAGCTATGTGATTAAGATGGTGGATTAGTGTTGTAGGGAAACAACAAATCTTGCAAAATTGTAGGTATTGGATTTGTGAGATTCAAGCTCTATGATGAGTCAATAAGGTTATTGACTGAAGTCAGGTATGTACCTGACTTGAAGAGAAATTTTATTTCTCTTGGTGAATTCGACAGGAAGGGATATGTTTTTCAAGGAGAGAAAAGTATCCTGAGAGTCATGAAGGGGTCGAAGAAAGTCTTGAGAGGCGTGAAGAAACAAGGCTTGTATACCCTTGAGGTTGAGGTTGTAAGTTGTTCGATAAATGTTGCATCCATGCAACCTGTGTCGAAGACAGAAATATGGCACATGAGATTGGGCCATGTCAATGAAAGAGGCCTGGTCGAATTAGGGAAGCAGAACCTGCTAGGAGGTGACAAAGTCGAAAAGTTGGAGTTTTGTGAATCTTGTGTATTTGGTAAATCCTGTAGGGCGAAGTTTAACAAAGGCAAGCAAAGAACACATGGATCCCTGGATTACATTCATGCTGATCTTTAGGGGCCTGCAAGGAATTCTTCACACTCAGGTGCAAGTTATTTTCTGTCCATCATTGATGATTATTCCAGAAAGCTATGGTTATTCATCCAGAAGACGAAGGATGAAACTTTTGAGAATTTCAAAAGTTGGAAGGTTCTAGTCGAAACTCAAACTGGCAGAAAGGTTAAGAGATTGAGAACCGATAATGGCCTTGAGTTCTGCAACAAATCATTTGATAGTTACTGTGTTGAGTTTGGGATTTCAAGGCATAAGACTGTAGCAGGTATTCCTCAACAAAATAGCTTAGCTAAGAGATTCAATCGAACAATCCTTGAAAGGGTTAGATGCATGTTGGTTAACGCTGGACTAAAGAAGGTGTTTTGGGTGGAGGTTGTTTCGATAGCAGCTTATCTGATAAATAGATGTCCCTCAACTTCCTTGGGAATGAATACACCTGAAGAAGTTTGGTCGGGACGTCCACCTAGTCTCGACAGACTGAGAGTATTTGGTTGCATGGCCTATGCTCATATTAGGCAAGACAAGGTCAAACCTAGAGCTCTGAAATGCATGTTCATGGGATACCCTGAAGGAGTCAAAGCTTATAGGCTATGGTGCCTAGAGCTAGGTCACAGGAGGTGTATCACCACTCTAGATGTAGTTTTCAATGAAGCAGATATGACTTTCAAGAAAACTAATGATGCTGACGAAGAGCTGGAACAGGGAGAGATTCGTGTTGATGCTAAATTGCGTATCCCATATGAAGTCAAAGAAGACGCAGAAGATGTTGTCGAAGATAAGGAGACTGATACTAACTACCTGCTAGCAAGAGACGGGTTGAGGAGAGTCATGAAGCCACCTCAGATACTTGGATATGCAGATCTTATAGCTTATGCCTTAATCTCTGCAAGTGAGATTCTAGACGAAAAACCTAGATAATATAAGGAATTTATGAGGAGTCGAAAGAAGACTGAATGGCTGAAGGCCATGGATGATGAGATGAAATCTCTTCATGATAACAACACCTGGGAACTGATCAAGAAACCTGCTGGAGCCAGGTTAGTCAGCTATAAATGGATTTTCAAAGTTAAGGAAGGAATCGAAGAAGTGTCGTCGAAGAGATACAAGGCAAGATTAGTCGCTAGGGGGTTCACTCAGAAAGAAGGTGTCGACTTCAATGATGTGTTCTCTCCTGTTGTGAAGCACAAATCGATTCGAATGTTGCTTGCCATGGTGGCCCAGTTTGACCTTGAACTGGAACAAATGGATGTGAAGATTGCGTTCTTGTATGGTGATCTAGATGAAACAATCCTTATAATGCAACCTGAAGGGTATGTCGAAAGGAAGATTATGTGTGCAAGCCGAATAGATCTTTATATGGTCTGAAACAATCTCCTCGGAAGTGGAATAGGAGATTCAACAAGTTCATGGCACGCATAAGTTTCATTAGAAGTCAGTTCGACCATTGTGTTTACTTCATATTTCGACCTGGTAATTCATTTGTTGTTCTATTGCTTTATGTGGATGATATTCTAATAGCAAGTAACAATGTCGAAGATGTAATAAGGGTGAAGGCTGAACTTAATAAGGAGTTTGACATGAAGGATATGAGAGTTGCGTCCAGAATTCTTGGGATTGACATCCCAAGAGATAGAAAGCAGTCAAAATTATGCTTATCTCAAG